AGCAAGTTTTGCTTCCTTTTTCTGGTTATTTGGCTATAACCTTTCATAGAAAACAGATAATTGAACAAACCTTGCTGCATTACATTCTTTCTATTATCTTTCCATTGATATATAATTTTATGGTATTAGTCCAAAAAAAATGATGTTATTAGCCATCAAACCTCAAATGTATACTTTTCCCAAAATGTTTCTACAATTTTGGCCAGTACTGTAAACTTTCAGTCCGGTGGTTTAGGGTTCTGAACACTCATGTTTTGTGCTCTAGTGGGTGGTGAGAATCAAAATGTAAATACTAATCTCTGTGCATGTGTTTTCTGTAAACTTCATTGTTAAGGTTTCTGTCTTCCTTAATGTGCACTGCACAGTCCAGGAAAGCCAGATGTTTTCCTTAACATCTTCCCACGTGAACTTAATGTATTTGTCCACAGTGTTGATGTGTTTGGCGAAGGCTTCTGCTTCCTGTATTCTATTATTGACTCAAGTATTATCCACATACCTATACCAATGAGTGGAGGGAAATCCTGTGAAGGAGTTGTGCTTTGGTTTCTACCTCTTCCATGTAGAGACTGGCAACAATGGGGGACACAGGTGAACGCATGGCACAGCTGTATTTTTGTCTGTATAAACCTTCATTGTATTTAAAATAGGTAGTAGTCAGACAGAGATCCAACATGGCACATATATGATCTGGGCTGAGGTTAGTTCTGTTGCTAATGTGGTGTTTTGTAGCAGATGTTTCTTCACTACCATGACAGCTTCAGTTGTTGGAATGCAAGTGAAAAGTGAAGTTATACCATAAGAAACCATAGTTTCACCTGGATCCAATGTTAGTTTTCAAACCTTGCTGACAAAGTCCTATGAATTGTTGATGTGGTGTTGCCAATCAAAGGGGCTAATAAGGTGTTTAAATGTTTCATAATGTTATAGGTGACGGAGTTGATGCTGCTGACAGTTGGTCTGGGTGCCCTCTTTGCGGATTTTGGGGAGTCCATATATGCATGGAGTGGCTTCCCCAGGGTAAAGATAATTGTATTGTGGTTTGTCAATGGCATTGTCCTTCAGTAGTAGCAGGAAATCAATGATCTTTTTTTTATAACTGCTGGTAGGATCTCTATTCAGAGTCTCATATGTAGTAGTATCCTTTAGAAAAGTGTCCATCTTGGCGTCTGTGTTCAGGATAACTGTGCATCTTCCTTTATCAGCTGCCAAGATTGTGATGTTTGGGTTTCTTCCTAGGGATGTCACTACTCTCCTTTCTGGAATTATGAGGTTGGAGGGGGGTGTTTTGGCACTGGAGAGGGCTGCAAATACCTTCATCCTTAATTGTTCTGTCTCTGATTCTGCCAGTTTATTGTTCCTGATGGCTGACTCTGTGGCTGTGATGAGATCTACAATTGGTAGCTGTTCTGTCCAAAGACATTTCTGTGGTCATGTCACCAGTGTGTTGCCATAGAGTGCTGTTACCTCCCCCTCCCCACATAGATACAGAAACACATATACATACGCACTCACACACACACACACATATATATGTATAAGTGTTATGTATCTATGTATATGTGTGGGGGGAAGATAACAGCACTCTATGACATATGCTGGCGACATGATGGAGAAATGTCTTTGGACAGCGCTGGCTCAATGACCTTGAAACGGATATGAGCACCTCTCCCTATAGTTTGCAACAACTAGCAGAGTAAAATGTATGTGTATAGTGTATAGAATGTAGGTGTTTGTGTATGTGTGTGTGTGTGTATATTGTAAGCTGCCCAGAGTTACTCTGGGTGGAAGCAGAGGGAGAGGTGGAATCTGTTCTTAATCGATCTATCACCTCCATTGCAATGTTCCCCCATTGAGGCCCCCAAGCTAACTGGCAGAGCCAGGCCTTTAATTCTTACGAAAGGTCAGGAGGTTTGGGGCCGACCTCACACTGGGGGGGAGGGGGAGAGAGAGATGTTCCACAGAGCAGGAGCAACGGCAGAGCCACAATAATTGGGCGATGGGGCACAGAGCATGCCTCCTCTGCCGGCAAAGGTGAGATAGGCCAATCCCAGTGGGATGAGACGGTCCCTCAAGTAGCCTGGACCCATGCCAGAAAGGGCTTTAAAAGTGATTACCAACATCTTGAATTGCACCCGGAAGCAGATTGGCAACCAATGCAACTTATGGAACAGTGGTGTTACATGGGTCATTCTTTAGGCCCAAGGAATCTGTGCTGCTTCATACTGCATCAGCTGTGGCTTCCATGTTGAGCACGTTAGAATAGTCCAATTGTGAGATAACTAGGACTTGAATGACTGAGCTATATAGATCTGTACTAATCAGTGACAGCTGCACTAGTTGATGTGCTCAAAAGCTTATCCATATGTAAACTAAATACAATACATTTTCATATATTCTAGATCAGTGGTGGCGAACCTTTTAGAGATCAAGCGCCCAAACTGCAACCCAAAACCCACTTATGTATCACCGGGTGCCAGGTGGGCGTGGCCACTGGGTGGGCGTGCCTGTGGTGGTCATGGCAAACTGGGTGGGTATGACCAAGGTGGGCGTGATCACTTTGATGTTGCTCATGGGGAGGGACGCCTTTGGAGGCCAGGCAGGGTTGGGGAAGATCCAGGGGATCTTTGGCAGGTGGGGCGGTGGGCAGGAGGCTCGTCCTGCGGGGTGAAGCAAGGCGAGGCAGGGAGGGGGTGCCACTGTCGCAGGGCAAGGCAAGGCAGGGGCCTGGATGGCTGCTGCCTGACACCATCGGCCCCCATACACAGAGGCCAGCAAGCGCATGGGGGCCGACAGTGTCTGTCAGCATACACAGCCTGCTAGCCCCTCGACCGGCACACTCTGGGGCTCCGCAGCCTGCCACCAGCAATTCAGAGAAGCCACTTCTGAGCTGGATGGCCGGCCGACAGCTGAGGCAGCGATGCAGTGAGTCGTGCCCGGAAAAAGGAGAGCATGCGAATGGGATGGGGGGGGGGGGGAATGAGCGATGCTGGGATGCATCTGGCCACGTGGGACCTCAGTGAGTTAGCGGGCGGCTGGTTGAAGGACGGATGCCATCTCTGGGGCATGGTGCGCATGCCCACAGAGAGGGCTCTGAGTGCCACCTCTGGCACGCGTGCCATAAGTTCACCACCAGTGTTCTAGATAGTACCAATTTAGACATACTGAAACCTTTGGTAAAACTCTTTATGAATGAAAAGAGGCAGGATGTTTCTAGAGGACTTTTCTTAAAGTCCTCTTGTGGACAGTAATATGATGAACAGCAGGAATAAATTGATAGCTCTTGCTTTATTGAAAGGAAAATTTTGAAGGGTGACTTATTCTCAATTTAAAAGATTTCAGTTGTTCTTGATGCTCTCTGAGCTTGGTTATTTTCTTGCAGACATTTCTTTACCAAACTAGGTAACATCATCAGTGTTTATAGCAGTGGTTCTCAACCTTTTTAATGCCGCGACCCCCAACCGGTCGTAAGTCGAGGACTACTCAACCGGTTGTAAGTCGAGGACTACTCAACTGGTGCAGCACCGTTTGCAGAATGGGCCTTTTGGCGGGCTCAGCAGGGCAGAGACAGCCTGGACAATTCCTATTGGCTTTTGAAAGCCAATAGAATTAGACTCTATTCAAGAGAGTCTATTCTATTGGCTTTCAAAAGCCAATAGAATAAAAGGGAATAGCACAGCTAAGGAAAAGGGGAAAAAAATGGCGGACTGCGTTGTTTGGCGACCCCCGTGAAATGGTCGTTTGCCCCAAATGGGGTCCCGACCCACAGGTTGAGAACCACTGGTTTATAGGGAGTGGGATTTGCTCTCATTTTATAATCTAATGGCAGGCAAGTGTTGCAGACCTTCTCTGCAGGCTATGCACAAGCAAAGTTAATGTGGAAACTGGTAGAGAAGGGATATCTCCCCCCCCCATCTACACTCACATGCACCATACACTCATTCTCCCTTTTGCATGCTCGCACTCACTGGTGCTTTCCTTCCCTGGGTCTCCCTGCACTCACAGACACATGCATCCTGCATCATTTTTCCTGGTCTCCCTTTGCTCACACACATGCACTCTGCATTCTCTTTTTCCAGCCTGCCTAAGCTCACACTGCACTCCAGCACCATGAACTTGCACACAGCCTGCACTGGGCCTCCCCCAACCCATGGTAATACCTCACAGTCCTTGTCTGAGATTTCCTCTACTTCCTGCATAACAACTGATGTGTCTTGTGATTATCATGACAACTGGGACGGCCTGGATTTCTATTGCTAAGCAATGTGACATTACCCTTTACAATTGCTTGACTTGGTGATGGCAATGCCAGTCCCATTTGCTTTTATGATTTGAGAACTTCTTGTTTGTTCACATAAATTACTAGGAGGTAAACTTGACTAAAGATGATGTAATTTTTATGAAAAACCTAAATATTCAGAGGAGGCATGCACTTGAATATTACACGCTATTATATCCTCTGTATGGATGGCTTACTGATTACTGTGAGAAACAGATTTCTAGAAAAGATGGGACATTACACATATATGCATGTAAATCTCAGTTGGGAGGAGGTCCCTTTAGAATAATGAAAGTTAGATAAATTTTGCAGTGAATTCAGAATTATATTGGCAAGTAATGCAGCTTATGGAACTTTGTATCATAGAGGGCTATTGACTTGTTCCATCTATAACTATATTGTCTAATAATTTTTCAGATCTCAAGCCCTGAGATTAAGGAGCAGGAGCAAGAGTTATATATGTGTTATAAAAGACTGGAGTAAAATAAATAAATTAAATTACTAATTATTAAAATCAGAGAGATTTTTTAGTATTCCTAACTATAATTGCACTATACAAAACAAATTTCACAATTCCTGAATTTCTGCCCTTTGTATATTCTTACAAACTCTTATGTTTGGAAATATTGTAAAAGTTGTTTGCTATGTGACATGAAAACAAAATTAACCCAGTTACTATCACATGTAAAAATGAAAGCCAAAATATTATCAATACCAGACCAACCTTTAGTTCTCCTGTAGCTACTTTAAATACAAGCTCTATGACACAGCCAGCAGCAAGACGAGCAGCACTGAATGAATGCACTTCATTCCAAATTGTATCATTGTCCACCTGAATAAAAATGGATTCAGAAATATTGTAAAGATACTGTTGTAAATTCTGAAACAATTTAGACTACACAGAGCACTGCATGCTGACTACTGGAACTGTTAAATCATAACTTAAGTATTTTAATTATAAATGCAAATAATGATAAATACCCAAAGTGAATTACTCCCCAACTCAAAATTGGTAGCACTGCCATCACAAATATAAATACTGATTTACTTTTCTTTAAAAAGCTCTTTAGCTACAGATAAACTTCTTATACACCTATAAGTGAAGTTCTTTAAGCGGTTATCCTCATGCATCCATTTTGGGACATGTTCAGATATAAGATTTTTGACAAGAAACATATCTTGTCTGTATCATATCATACATCTTCTAAAACACAGCTCCCAATGTTCCACTTTCATTTTTGAAGACCACTCCAAATAATTATAGAACTAAACCATTTCCTAAAAGAAGAACCATAGGTTGTATGAATCCACAAAAGATCATCTATAAAAATCCACTGTTACTTTAACTAACCAGATTTCATTCTGGTTTCTGTAATATTCCACACCTAAGAATAATTAACTAGCTACCTATTACTAATAAAATGTTAACAAAAGTCAGTAGATAACAGAGCTTTGCTGAAGAAAGTGTCTTTAAAAAAACCCCAAAGATATCAAAATTAAAGTGCTAAATGAAGACAAATGGCTCTGACCAGGTGACAGTCCTGCATATATTGATAGGACAAGATCCTTTGGAAAGGGAATTGTGAGTATTTGGCTAACTGGCTATGGAATATGTTTATTAATACAAATTATTTAGAAAATTCCTAGGCGGAAACGACTATTTTGCTTTTCCAGGATCTGATAACAAAAAAAAGTTTGATCTGCATAAAGAATAATAATCTTATGCAGATATAACAGCATCATTAGACATTAAAGATACAAAGGAGAGAAAATAAGAAAGAAAATGGAGAATTGGCTTCTAAATTATTTTAGCTCTCCCATCATGTATATCATCTATTTTTCTTAGAACTAAGGTAGAGCTTATATCTCATAATTAGAGCAAATAAACCAATCATTTTTTGTACTCTAAAAGATTAATGGACATCCTCAAACATAGCTTGATCAAACTTTATCATGTGGATAAGAGATGACAAACAGTCATCTGTATAAAAAAGATTGCTCAGTACAAAATAAAGACATAGACAAGATATGAAAAGCATTTAGAACCAGAATTTCTGGGTGAGTTCTGCATATACATTTCGTACCAATTGGTGTTTTTTCTTGCCAATACTGATTTAACCGACATTTTTTGTAGGTCTTCAGTGGGCCATTTTTTAAACCAGGGTTGTCAAACTCAATTTCACTGAGAGCTGCATTAACATTACGGTTGCCCTGGGGGGGGGGTGAGTATTGCCAGAGTGGGTACAGCCTAATGGGTGGGCATGGATGGAGTGGGTGTGGCCTACTGGGTGGGTGTGGCCAGTCCTACATCATTCGCGTCAAGGGTGCCTATGGGGGGCTTGGGCAGGAGTGCGCCAGATCTGAGGGTCTCTGGCAGAAGGGGGTGGGACCAGGGAAAGTGCCAAGGCATGGTCCACTGGGGCAAGTGCCAAGATGGCCACCACAAAATTGTACATTGACTCCCGGCTGGCCTGGGCCAGGGCCAAGGCAGTAGGGGCCGTTCCCTCACTGTTTCCAGGATGGCTTTGCGGGCTGCATCCGGCCCCCAGGCCGTGTGTTTGACATGTCTGTTTTAAACTATAGATTTGCCAAGTGCAATGGAAGATAATTATATCCCAATCTTTCAATTAATTTGTTTCTATGTAATTTCACATATTGAACAGTAGTTCATTTTATCTTATTTTGCAAAATGTAGAGATATTTGCCGAAACAATGCTGGGATAGTTTTCAAAATAATATTCGTAACACTAACCAGATTATTTAAAATTGTTCTCAAGAAAAATAAGGCAATTTAAAAATTATTATGGTAGAAGTTAAGTGAGAATATTTTAATTAATTTTGAAACTTTGTAGTTAATGATGACACAAAATTGTGAAGTTTAGACAGCACCCAAAATGACAAAATTAAACTGAAATCAAATCTAGGTAAACAAAGCTCGGAGAACAAAACATACTTTTACTGGAAAAAATGTAAAGGAGAAAAAATATATGGAACACATACAAGTCCAAGAAGTTATGACTTGGAAGCACAACACTGAAAAAAGACTTGGGTCTAGTTACTGACACTAAACTGAACATAAGCCAGCAATGTGAATAACTAAAAGGGCTGCATTAGAGGAAGCATTGTACTAAAAACATACACAATCCTTATTTCCCTCTTCTCTGTGCTGATGAGGCTACAGCAGTATGTCTGTTTACCATTCCGGGCACTACAAAATATTGACAGGTTAGAACAGTTTTAGAAGATGATGGCAAGGATAATTATAGGAACTAAAAGACATGTGCTATAAGGACAAGATGGAGGAAATTGGAATGTTTAATCTGGAGAAAAGAAATCTGAGAGGAGCAAGATATTAGTGTTTAAGTATTCATGAGTTTAAGTATTACTCTTGACCATTGATCAGCTACAGTATTTCAATAATAGAAATATATATGAAACACACTGATAATAAAAGTTTATTTGGTCAAACTCATAATGAAGTATAAAAACTTTCCAGATATCTCTGAAAGAAGCATGTTTACAATCAGTCTCCAGCTTGTCAACTAGAGATGCAGCAAGTACAAATGTTGTATTATATTTAATGATACACTGTGTTTTCTAGAGATAGATGGAAGAAAGGTATTCCTCTGTGTGAGATGCATTCCCCTGTGAGAGAGGAAAAGTGAGACCAACTATGATTAATGTGTTCATCAAGCTATCAGTGTACAGTGGCTAGTGTCGCACATGACCTTCACCAGACCAGCAGGGAAATATGTATAGCACGTACTTGAACTACAATTCATCTAATAAAAAAGTCCCATATCCATCCCACTAGAATATTAGGAGCACTGGATGTTTTGTATGTGTACGAAGAGTTCGCTCTTAGGATACTTGCAATATCAAATATGAATAAGGTAACTCTCTGGTTGAGCTCCAGGTCATAAATCATTAAAATCAAATGATTACATCAGATTACTAGACAGTCCTGGGATCCCAGGGGGCAAGTAATCTAGCTATGCAGCAGATCCTGGATTGAATTGCCAGATTCTGTAGTATCAACAAATCTGTTTTTCCTTGCTTTTTTTTGGTCCCAAAAAACTGTAATATTTCTAAGGTCATCTGAACCCCAAACTGCATTAGAAAGACTTTGAAAGTTTGGATTAAACTTGAACTGCCACTCAAGTTCAGCCTTTGCATCATGTTTCTGGAAATAAGGGAAACATGCTTTCCATTCCATGAGGCCACAGAAAGAAGAAGGGGTACACATGTACGTTCATTAAAAAATTATTCTTAACAAAGAGGCATCCATAAATAATGGGATTGTCAGCTATGTGCTTCACAATAGGTTGGAACTAGGAAAACCTGTTATTAAGCAAGAAGCCATTGCATATAAAGAGAGATAGAGTTACCATTGCACTTGACATTATATGTGCCAAGAAGTATAACACTAGGCAAAAATGGAACTGATTTGTAAAACCAGATGTTGAATGGGATCAGATCTGACTTGTGACAGGGAAGTTGCATTCTAGATGGTGTCTGAGTGCCATTAAGAATCACAAAAGATAAGTGGGAATGATCTATTTCCCCATTTATTTATTTTTTTAAAGAAAGGGGAGTGACATTTACCCATGAGAGTTAGATTATTTCACAGACTAACTGCAGAATGGCGGGTTTTATAGTCGTAAGAGATAATAAACAGCATTCACACACATGAAATAATTTACATCCACACTGGAAGAAACAGATTGGGTGATTCTTAAATGGAGTAAACAAATTCTCCAATCTGTCACTTAGAAAGCTGAAAATATGTCATGTAAAAGTGAGGCTTCATCTTCAGATGCTATTTATGTGGTGGTCAAAGCAGAGCTGTGCTAAGGGGCAAGAGCTGAACTTTAACAGAATAACAGAGTTGGAAGGAACATTGGAGATCTTCTAATCCAGCCCCCTGCACAAGCAGGAGACCCTATACCATTTCAAACAAACGGCTGTCCAATCTCCTCTTAAAAACCTTCAGTGATGGAGCACCCACAACTACTGAAAGCAAGTCATTCCACTAAATGTTTCACTATCAGGACATTTCTCCTTAGTTCTAGGTTGGTTCTTGCCTTGATTAGTTTCCATCCATTGCATCCTGTCTTGCCTTCTAGTGCTTTGGTAAATAGGCTGAACCCCTTTTCTTTGTGACAATCCTTTAAATATTGGAACACTCTTGACATGTTACCCCTGGCCATTCTTTTCACTAGACTAGACATATCCAATTCCTGCAACTGTTCTTCATGTTTTAGCCTCCAGCCCCCTACTCATCTTTGTTGCTCTTCTCTGTACTCTTTCCAGGGTCTCAACATCTTTTTTATATTGTGGCAACCAACATTGGATGCAATATTCCAAGTGTGGTCTCACCAAGGCATTATAAAGCTGTACTAACACTTCATGTGATATCAATTCTATCCCTCTATTAATGCAGCCTAGGGCATTGACTTTTTTGGTTGACTGCAACACAATGATAGCTTATATATAAGTGATTGTCCACCAGGACTCCAAGATCCCCTTCCTCCTGTTGCTTCATTATCTTTTCCAGGATCTTCCCAGGTATGGATATCAGGCTGATTGATCTGTAGTTTCCTGGATCAACTCCCCTGCTTTTTTTGAAGATGGAATCAGTTCTATGGTAGTTCCCTGGTACACCAGAATCTTTGAAAGATATGGTTTCAATTGTTCTGAGATCACATCTGCCAGCTGCTTCAGAACTCTGGGATGTAATCCATCAGGTCCTGATGATTTGAACTTGTCTATGGTGGACAGCTATTCTCTTACCATTTTTGTGCCTATTTTAATTTGCATTTCTAGTCTGCCTTTTATGGTTCTGTTTTTGGTAGCTGGGCTATTTTATCTTTTTGTGTGAAGTCAGATGCAAAAAATGAGTTAAACAGCTCTGCTTTCTCCCTAATGCTCATCACTTCCTTCCCATTTCATCCCATTAGCAGACAATTTGTTTACTTGACTTTTTCTGGTTTTTTTATTTGTTGAAATAAACTTATTTTTATTGCTTTTGATATTTGTTGCAAGTCTTAGTTCATTCTGAGTCTTGGCTTTCCTGACTTCATCTTTGCAGATTTGGCCCATGATTATGCCTAATTATGATCCCTCTTTCCATTTTTTATATTTATCCTTCTTGTCTTTCAGTTTATTGGAGAGTTCTTTATGCAACCCTTCTGGTTTCTTTCTGGATTTCTTATTTTTCATTTTTCAGTGGTATTGTGGTAGACTGGGCTTTTATTATCACAAGCTTCTTCATATTACAGAGTTTAAAGATGTGTAATATGAAAAGAGGCAGTGTTTTCATCTCCAAAGTGGGGACCTGAGTGATATAAACTTGCATATATTCATAATAAAAACCATGAAGAGCATCACAAGATCATTCTCATTCTTTATGCAATTCAGTAACTGTTGTTTACCCTGATGGCTACCATGAGGTCAAGAAGCAAAACAACATATTCTATAGACTACTTCACATATCATGCTTCAGAGGTATTCAACCAATCATTCCACTTGCTTGGTGCAATGGCAAAACAGGACTGCAAATACATTCTTTGGCAAGAAAGGAATGCCCCCTGTTTGTTGTGTTTCACTTTATGGCATTTATTTTAAATAAGAAATCTATTTTCAAGCCTGAACAATTTATGTAATCTGTAAATATGTTGTTGTTGTTGTTGTTTTTAATATTTGAGATAAATTATATAGGTAGTGTGAATCTTAAATGTAAGAATCAATAGAGAAGCTAAAGTACCAGATGTATATATTTAAAAACAAAGTGCATGGAGTCTCTTCATACTTCTGTGTCAATAAAGCTTCTTTATTAAAAAAAAAACAAATTTTCAAAACAGCATGTTAGTATGAAACAATCGTAATATTTGGAAAAAAAATATATGCTTCCTCTGATATGAACAAGGCTTTGTACAATTGGGAATCCCGGTAGAGATGCAAATATTTCAGTTATCAATAATATTTATTGAAGATACGTAAAATTACTGCATAGAGTGTTTTCCCCAAAGTTTATAGAATATATGAGTTCTATAATAAAAATGAGAATTGTATATTTAGTCAGTTTAATCAACATGGATTTAATCAATTTAATCAAGTTCTGCTGCATTACTTGACCAAATAAGAAAAAATGCTTACCCCAATGCCACCACATGGAAGCCTGACAAACAGTGATGTCAGAGAGCCTAGAGGAATTAGAGTAGAGTAAAACATTGTTAAAATTACAAAACACATGTGATTTGGGAGTAATTTAAAAATCTGTCATCAAAATTAATAGTATAGACCTATTCATTCCTACAATAATATTAGGTGCTGAATGTGACACTGATTCCCTCAGCCTCTAAACTTAACTGCATCCTTTCTGCAGCAAGACTATAAGATTGGGTCTTTAATGCCAAGCACCAAAATTGGAGACAGAAACAGGTTTTAAACTCTTAAGAAAAGATTCTTTGAGGGTTTTAAAAATATTTGATATTGATATTTTAAAATCATCTTGCCCATTTACCTACAACCTTCTCCTCATGAATAAACCAGATAAAAATTCAGTTGGCCAAAACGTTTTAAACAGGCTGACATTGATGTAGTTGACAATATCATATTCCTAAAAAAAGAATATAGAGTATTGCTAAAGAAGCATCCTTCCTGAAGGATTGGTACGAAAGCAAACAATCCCTTTTAAATATTTTTTCAGTGGCAGGTAACAAGGGCTCAGATGCTGGACATTCAGTGAGATGCAAGGAATGTTAGGAGAACCTTATCTAAAAGATTTTGTTATCCCTCAATAAGTACTGTGAAGTGTATGGCAGTAAACACGATGAGTAAAGATTTGCTCCCAAAAGTGGCAATTTAAACAACTTTCTGTTATTCCCTAAACTTCAGTAACATTGGGATCATTTCAGTATATGGGTATGATGGCAGCATATCATGCTAAAAAAAACTGATAAGGAAGCTTCTTGCTGCCTTAAGTAATCGATTTCATATCTTCCCCTAAGAAAGAAACACGTAGACACGTGAAAAAAAAACTTTGTCAATGTCAATAATATGATAAAGTAGCTCATATTACCCCAAATCAAAAAAGGACTGTGTTAGTGACTGGTGATTCACTACTTAGAGGAACAGAACCAACAATTTGTAGATCAAACAATTTTTTAAGGAAAATGTGTTGACTTCTAGGTGCAAAAATTAAAGATGTGACTGAGAAGTTCACTAATAGAAAAGAAGTGATAGAGGGGATTGAAGTTGCAGGAACTTTGGGGAAAGTGACCATGTTATATTAGAAGTCAATATAATACAGACAAAAACAGAACATAATCAAACTGTGTCTTAGACTTTAAAAGAGCTGAGAAAGCTTGGGAAAGATCCCACAGGTGAAAATCGTAAAGGGGAACTCAACTCAAGAAGCTTGGGAAACTCTGAAAAATATGATTATAAAAGTCCCATTCAGTTCAATACTACTGAAAAAGAAAAACAAGAAACCCAAGAAAAAAGCACCATGGTTGCACAACAAACTCTCAGACAAACGGAAAGTAGACCACAACCTATTTCTTTGAAAACTAGAAAAATGTGGGATAGACAATACTATCAACAGATGGATTTTTAACTAGCTGACAAACCATATTCAATGTATAGTCCTTAATGGAACTAAATCCACATGGAGGGAGGTGGTCAGTAGGGTAACCCCAGGGTTCCGTTTTAGGCCCAGAACTCTTCAATATCTTTAAATAGGGGAATAGAAGGGAACTCATCAAATTTGCAGACAACACCAAGCTGGCAGGAATAGCAAATACACCAAAAGATAGGCTCAAGATACAGAAAGATCTTGACACTTGAACATTGGGTTCTATCTAACAAAATGAAATTCAATGGTGGGAAAAGTACACTTAGGCAAGAAAACCATTTGAACAGGCTCAATACCAGTAACTGTGATAGGGATCTTGGAGTCCTAGTGGACAATCACTTAAATATGAGCAACATTTGTGGCAGCAGCCAAAAAAGGATGATGCTGTCATGAAAACGTTGGCTTTCTAGACAATGGAGTACGCTATCTAGACAAAGGGCTTCTAGCAAAAGAAGGACTGGACCTCACAAAGACTGGAAAGAATGTGTTTGGGAAACAATGGGCTAAACCTATCCAAAGAGGTTAAAACTAAAACTGGAGACCAACTAAAGAGTAAAGACAGGTGACCAACTTGTAACACTAAACCACAAATCAAATAATGAGAAAGCGAATGAAAAGGGGCACACAAGTACAAATCAGGAGATATAGGAAGCAAAACTAGGGATAACCACAAAAAGCTCAAATGCCTATATAACAATACTCACAGTATGGGGACCAAACAGGGAGAGTTTGAAATAGTAGTACATAAGGGCAAGTATGATATCGTAACTATTACTGAAACTTGATGGGATGGAATCCACAATTGGAACATTCAAGCAGAATATAAATTGTTCCAAAGAAACAGACCCAACAAAAAATTGGGCTGGGTATGTCACTATAACTCCATAGAAATTTAGAATACTAGGGATGAAAGTCTGCTTGAAAGCACTTGGATAAATATTAGAGGAAAAAAGACTTTGCTGCAGGTGTGCATCACAAATGTGTATTACAGGCCACCCAAACAATCATAGGAAATAGATGAACTCTTTGCTAATCAGTTAGCTGAGGAAACACACTACACTGTAGAAATGGGAGACCTTAAATATCCTGACATCAACTGGGTAACAAACTCTGCAGGGAGTGGGAGATCAAACAGGCTCCTGACATGTCTAGCTGACAACTTTGTCATAAAAAAGATAGAGGAGAGAACAAGAGGGATAGCTACACAGGACTTAATTCTTATTAATTAAGTAAGAATTACAAAAGAGTAGAAATTATAGGAAGTTTGGGCAATAGCAAATATAATAGACTTGAATTTATCCTAAAGCAACTACAGGTAATTGAACCAAGTCAGACTAGTGTTTTAGACTTTAAGAGAGCTGACTTCCACAAGCTAAGAAAGAGATTAGGAAGGATTCCATGGATGGATATTCTAACAGGATAAATAGTTCAATATGCTTGGGAAACTCTGAAAAATGAGATAATGAAGACCCAAGCTAAACTAATACCACAGAGAAAGAAAAACAAAATACACAGATGAGACTAGCATGGTTCCACAAAGAGCTCTCTGACAAATTGTGGGACAAAAAGGTCAAATAAAAAAAAATGAAAGAGGAACACATAAGTAAAGCAGAATACCAATAGCCTGAATCTGTAAGAAGGGAGTCAGGAAAGCTTAGGCTCAGAATGAGCTAAGACTAGCAATTAATGCCAAAAATTATAAAAAAGTTTCTTTCAATATATAAGGAGCAAGAAGTGAAGAAAATGATAGATCCACTAATGGAAGCAGATGGCAAGATAACAAACAGCAGAGGAAAAAGCAGAATTGCTCAATTCCTTTTTTGCATTTATTTTTATGCAAAAGAAACAGCCCAATCTTACCAAAATCAGCATTGAGGGAGACAGAACATGAGCATAAAACAAGATAGGCAACAATGTGGTAAGAAAACACCCATCTACTTTGGACAAAGTCAAATATTAGATACTTAGGTAGGAAAAACCAAATGCATTGATATAGAACAGGTGTTATCTGGCTCAACATAGTAATTGTGAGAGAAATCTAGGTTTCCTAGTGGACCACCACTTAAGTATGAGCCTGCAATATGCTGCAGTTGTTAAAAAAGCCAATGTAATCCTGCATCACATCAACAAAGGAACAGTATCAAGATCACAAATGATTATACTGCTTTATACCACACCGATGAGATCTCACTTACTGTATGCAGTTCTGATCACCATGATACAAAGAAAGATGCTGACATGTTGGAATTGTGCAGGGAAGTACAACAAAGATGATAAAGGGTCCAGAGGCAAATTGAATGATGAATGGTTGAAGGAGCTAAGTATGTCTAGCCTATTGAAGAAAAGGAGAAAGGGGGGGGGGCATGACAACTGTATTGCAGTACTGAGGGGCTATCACAGAGAAGAAGGGATTGACTTATTCTCCAAAGCATGATATAGCAGGATAAGAAGTAATAGAATAGAATAGAACTGGAAGGACCTTGGATGTCTTCTAGTCCAGTCCCCTGCTCACCTATACCATTTCAGACTAGTGACTGTCTAGCCTCTTCTTTAAAATCTCCAGTGATGGAGCACCCACGATTTCTGAAGACAAGCTATTTCACTGGTTAATTGTTCTCATTGTTAGGAACTTTCTCCTTAATTCCAGGTTGCTTCTCTCTTTCTTCAGTTTCCAACCATTGTTTCTTGTCCTGCCCTCTGGTGCTTTGAAGAATACTTTAAGGCCCTCTTTTTTGTGGCAGCCCCTCAGATACTGGAATACTGCTATCATGTCACCCCTATTTCTTCTTTTCTTTAGACTAGCCAAACCAAGTTCTGCAGCCATTCTTCATGTTTAGCCTCCAGGCCTTTGATCAATTTAGTTGCTCTTCTCTGAACTTTTTCCAAGGTCTCAACATCTTTTTTGTAGTATGGTGACCAAAATTGACTGCAGTATTCCAGGTGTGGTCTTACTAGGGTTTTATAAAACAGTACTAATACCTCGTGTGATCTTGATTCTATGCCTGTTTATACAACCTAGGATTGTATTAGCATTTTTGGGTGCTGCTGCACACTGCTGACTCATACTCAAGTGATCATCCATTAGGATTCCAAGGTCCCTCTCACAGGTACTGTTTTTGAGCCAGGTCTCACCTAATATATACTTATACCTTTGATTTTTCCTGCCTAAATGTAAAACTTTGCTTTTCTCCACATTAAAATTCATTTTGTTGGATAGGGCCCATTGTTCAAGTTTGTCAAGATCTTTTTGGATCCTGAGCTTGTTTTCTGGATGGAAGCTTGTTAAAGAGAGATCCAACCTAGAAATAATGAGAAATCTTCTGATAGTATTGTTGTTGTTAGTTGCAAAGTTGTGTCCGACCTATCGCGACCCCATGGACAACGTTCCTCCAGGCCTTCCTGTCCTCTACCATCTTCTGGAGTTCCTTTAAGCTCACGCCTACTGCTTCAGTGATTCCATCCAGCCACCTCATTCTCTGTCGGCCCCTTCTTCTATTGCATTAGGCTCTTCTCCAGTGAGGTGGCCAAAGTATTTGAGTTTTCTGATAGTAAGAACAATTAATCAGT